CTTCCTTATGTACACTGGCTGCCTAACAGAGACATGTGCCAGTAACCCTGTAGATGGCACAAGTTGCTTTTAAGACCGTAAATTGACTTCCCCTCCACTTGCCACGAGATCAAACAGTGTTTGATTTAGGGATAAAGGACCACCCCAGCAGCAGTAACAAGTTGCACAGTGGCCTGACAGATGAGCTACAGAGGGCCGGTAATAGACACAGCTGTAAAGCCATTTACACAAATAATTTGCTGTCCTGTGCTATGGGGATAAAAAGGTAAGCACGGGCTCTGAGGTTTTGGGGTCAGATTAGAAATACGCACTACCCTACATGCACACATTTGAGAATACTGGACACGGTGATCCAGGCTATCGGAGCATGCTGAATCCCAGCATTAAAAACCCACACATACCATTTGCCTTATAAAAATGGGCCCCTATTTATTCATTTTATGGCAATTCACCCCCTTCACCGGTACAGCTAAGACTACACACACACAGAGAACAGTGCGTATGGCAGGGCCTGTTTTCTATCTGGTACCTGTCACCAGCAAATATGAGCAATTAACATCTCGGTGTTTGGGCAAAACAATCCATACCGCTCCTGACCTCGAGCGGGCACAACACGTGCAAGTGCATGAGTAAGCCATCGTGTGGAGCTGCTAATATCCAACTACAAAAAAAACCCCAACCAACCAACCCACCAACTCCAAATCTGTTTGCCAAATCACCAGAGCTAAGCACTAATACAGAGGTGTTCAAACTTCAAAGCAGGAGCACAGTCGGCAAGAGTTTGTTGAAAGAATTACAACCAGGCATGGAAACTGGGACTTCTCAGTAGCATGTAATCCCTGCTGTTTCCATTTCCTCTTGCTCATTATCGGCACAGACGGGGGCTGAAGATTAGTAAACAGTGGGTGTTTGGGGTGAATTAGAGCATGTGTGATGTAGAGCTAGGCATCCTGGTGGCACCCGTGTGACTGTGCGGAGAGATGTAAATATTTAATGTTACCCACTATGTTTCTTCAGGACGATGAAATATTAACATGTTACTTGGGGGTGGGAGAATCATATCAGATAAAACAAAAGAGTCGATCTTGACCGTCATCTGGGATGTGAACAAAATCTGACAGTCAAAAATTTTCTGGCAAACACCCCCTTTATAGCCACGTGTGTTTTAATGAAGCGTTTTCACGCTGCTCCAGTCCTGTCTGAAACAAGAAAAAACAAACTCTGGGAAAAAAACCTTTACGCAGCTATGTGCGTAAGAGACATTAGTTTCTCAGCTATCTCCCTTGGTTTTAGCTGCAGGTTATCCTTTCAGAGGACAGCCACATAAATAAAAGCCATTACTAAGAAAACATAGCATGCCTAGAAATGCCTACAGATTTCTTGACCTGAGTGAAAACTGCTGAACTGACAAACCTTGCTCTCAGAAAGTTACTCGTCCTCCCTGCCCCAATAATACAGGTACTTATAGACTCCTGAAGAAAAGCCCTGCACCGCACATATATTACGGAATGTATCATAAAATGCATTTCTAAAAGGAGAACTCTATCTTTGTGGAAATCTCTTCATATCATTATAGATACTTCAGATAACCTTAATTTGTTCTCAGGAACAAAAAAAGAAGTTCTATTAAAAGGAATGGCACTGGTCATTGCTTACAATACTTTCACATAAAGCCTAATTTCTTAGTTTGCAGCCTTTTTACACCATAACCT